TATACGAAAGAGAATGGTCTCATGAATCTAACTTCTTTAGATCACATTCTCCCAATTACATATTCCTTGGACTTATCGTTTAAGCATATAACATTTATATGAGACGGTTTCAAACAATAATCTTTGCCCTTTATATTAAACTAGATTAGTTTAACATGTGAAATGTCCGTAAAGTATCATCATATGATTTGTTTTAGGGCACATTTCCAACACCACCACCATGAATCAACTCAAAGACCTCTCATCTTCATTTCTCCATCAAACCCAAGTTAATTTGGCCAAGAAATTAGGAAGAACACACATTGTGGCGCCAAGGGTCTCATGGCGGCGATCTGCCATTCCTGAAGCAAACTCCGTCGATCACCACCATGGGTCGACTCCTCTTGAACCCAAGAACAAGTCTCAAGCCTTGGTTGGAGCGGCGGAGCACTGGAGAAGTCGAATCAAAGGCCACCCAACTTAAGGTTTCCGGCGGGTTCAACACGAGTTTGAGCCTTTCCCGGCCAAATTGGACTTGAACAGGTATGGTATGATTATTGATGTCATAATTATGTTTACGGCTATGAATGATAGTATGTTGATTAGAACTATCGAATCACTATGGCATGACTATATTTGTGTTTTATGCTCATCGTTTGCTACACCCGATGTTACTGCTCACCCAGGGTCAGAGCCAATCTTTCACGTGTATGTTCACATCCACACCGCACGCTCACCTTGGATCAATGTAGTTGTTAGTCCTGTCATACAAGTTGCAATAGGCAACTCTGACTCGTATGTGATCGTAAATAGCGCTAGTCTTAACGTGATTGTAGCAATAGAGCGTATATTATAATTACACCCAATCATGTTCATGCCAGAATATCTCTACATGAACTGGTGTGTCGGCAAGTGTCGATGAGCACTCGTTATGATATGTTTGCCTTTGCGAGATTATATGATTACGAACATAATATGTTTACGTATGGGATACTATGCTATATTGATATTTTGATATATTGCAGGCTACGGTAGGTATTTTCATACTATACATAGTATGTATATTTTGGAAACTATACTTTTTACGGGGAGGGGTCGATTATAACATTTTCAAAAGGTTTTTATTAAAGCTTTATTTTCGGGCCCACTCACCCTTGTTTTTCGCCCTTCCAAGTTTTAGCAACTGAACTATTGTATCGACAAGGATTCTTGGCAAATCTTAGTATAGGGGGCTACCTTTGATGGTATAACTCTTACTTTACCTTACTGTACTTTACATATGCTCTGTCATCACGTGTGAAATGGGTTCATTCCCGCTCACAATTGTACTCTTGTATTTAGGCACTTTAGGTTTAAATTTATACACATTTTCCATGACACTATACTTTATGGCTTCGTCACCTTCCATGTGTTAGCCAACACATCTCGATTCAGGGTCTTAGTGGACATTTCAGGTCGGGGTGTGTCAAGATTTGTATTGGAAGATTTTGGTGAATTTTGAACTGAAGCAACTCCATTGCATTGTGATATGCAATTTCAATCACCAAGAATCTCATATTCCACCAGAAGACCACGCATATAAATAGAAGGTATCAGTTTATTAAAAAAGCTTCGCAGTAAGGGATAATTGATTTGAAGTATTGTTGAACCAAGGAGCAATTGGCAGACATCTTCACAAAAGCACTTGTAAAGGATCAATTCTTCAAACTTAGAGAGATACTTGGAGTGAAATCAATTCATCATTTAAAGGGGATTGTTGAAGTATAAACGGTAAATGTGATTTTTATTTTGAATTACCTTAGCTTAGAAATCTAGGATTTACTTCTGTAAAATTTCTTATACTCTAAGGGTGCGTTTGTTGCACCGGACTATCTTGGACTGGACTAACTTCAGGGACTAAACTGGACTGACTTTAACTTAGTGAAGCGTTTGGTGCAGTGTCAGACTAAGAAGTAGGATAAGAAAATTTTCAACACGCAATTCACAAATCTGACACCAAATTAGCACAAATGACTCAAATTGGGTCCAAACAGGGACTCTTTCTTCTTCTTTTTCGCTGGAAATTACAAGCAGGGACTCTTTCTTCTTCTTCTTTGTTGGAAATTACAAGCAGCAACAGCCAATTGCAATTTTCTTCCCACAATCTCAAACAATCCCAAACATCTGCTTCTTCAATTGTGAGAAAATCGCAATTTTCTCCCTAATCTAATCCCCAAATTCGAGTTAACTCTTAATGCTTGACCAGAAAATTCTAAAACTTGACAAGAAATGCAGATCCTAATTTTCTATTTTCTTAATGAAAATTTGGGATAAATTGTGAATTAGATTTAAGAAATTGAAAATTGGAGACAGAGATGGATGAACCCAGCCGTCGAAAATCAAGGTCAACGTCGATGCCATCAAAAATTGGAGAAAGAGATGGATGAACCCAACCGTCAAAAATCGAGGTCGAGGTTGATGCTGTCGAAAATTGGAGACAGAGATGGATGAACCTAACCATCGAAAAAAATTTCTATCATCCAAGTTCCAGCTTTCATTGAAGCCCATGCCGTCGAAAATCGAGGTCAATGAACCTAGGGTAGCGAAGCAGACGAAGGTGATAAAGGATGCAGCGAGAATGGACGAAGGCAAGAGAGGACGATGGAAGGTCTTAGCTAGTCCAGTGGGTTTCGGGGTCTCTCGCTAAGACCGGCTAGTGAAGCCTTTTGTGAAAGTAAGTCCCACCTAGTGCCATTAATGTTCATCTCACAAGCCACCAAACACAAGACTACATTAATACTTAATCCAATCCAATAAAGTGAAGGCTAAGAAGGGTAAACAAACGCCCCCTAACAGACTATCATTTTCTATGCACAAGCAAGCGTCTGGTTCATCATGGCTCAAAGAAACCGGTTTGTTGAATTGCTTGGATGTTAATGAGAGGTTGATAGTAGATGCGAATCTCAGAGTCAAAGGTCGAAATAACACCTTTGCAGTTGGAGACATTACTAATATTACGGTAAGTGCTAGCTACAATCTTGTTATATGAACTTTTTTTTATTAACTAGGATAGTTTGTGTAGAATTTTCATAGAGACACTGTCCCCAATTTCGTAATTACCACCAGCTCAAATCGTCATATGTGAGATTTTATCACAAAAAGCTTCAGTGTTAGTTGAAGTGGAGTAATTATATTTAAACTCTTCTTCCTTTCTTTCTTTCCCTCATATACCTAACAGTTTGATTCTATATATCATGTATAAAAGAACTTAATCAGTTTTCGGTGAAGTCAGGCTTTCACTTTTGAAAAACCTAGTGTATTACTTCAATGAATCACTATCTAATTCTGACCGGAATTTAGGCTCGAGATATTTTTTGATGAAACGATGACAACTTACCTTTTCTTTAATTATAAGTAATTTACTTATCGACTGAGTTACATTTAATTTAATCGAGTCCAGAAATTAAGAAAGTGTTAGGACTTGACTTTTTTAATTACAATATATAATTAATTAATTCTTGTTGACATGAGTTCCAAAACGTGTTTTCCATCTCATGTTGTTCTACTGGATTTAGGCGAGATTTTACTATAAACTGTTAGAATGAGTATGAGATAGAGAAGTTCTAGGGACTAGCTATGGGTATTTAGTTTGGTAGAAAAGTCTTGTTGATGAGAGGAATGCTGATCCTTGGTCTAAAAGGATTTTGTATAGCATTCGGATCTTTTGGAACAAGGAAACAAGTATATGTTTCCTATGAGGATTTTAATAGGGAATCCTATCTAATTATGGAAAGGACTATATGTATATATATAGTGGCCTCTCTTCTCACAGAAATATGCTCATATTCAGGACTGAAACCTATTTGTAAGTCGAGCTTGGATCATCTGCGAGAGAAGAGAAGGTTCACTGGAAAGCTTGCTGTCATGGCCTCTAGTTCTGGAGTCGCTGCAGATATGCCTTTCTTCTTGCTCCTCATTTGATTTATGCTTAAGTCTTGTATGTCAATTCACTGCCAACATGTGGTATCAGAGCCAAAAGACACACAAAGCATGAGTTCAATATGAAAAGATCAAATGTTTGTGTTTTCATTCTATTAAAAAAAAAAAAAGGGTGATCTCATGGAGAATCGAAGTCGGATTCTGGAGGTTGTAAAAGATGTGATGGTAGAAAAAGCAAAATAACTCTATGAGATTAAAATTAAAAAAAAAAAAATTGACAATTGGAAAACCCAAACCATTGCTGAATGAGGGTTTTTCCCAGATTAGAGTCAATTTTTTATTCCATTCTTGAATTACGATCTGGGTTTTTCCTTTAAGCATTAAGACCTTGTATTTTCAAATCCTAAATCGCTTCCGCTATTCCTTTTGTGAATTTGAAATCAATGATTAAAAGGTATGTTGTTAATTGCTTTTGATTCCCTCGAATGTCCGTGTATGTTTCATTGCATATGACTGTGTTTTGTCGCTACAGTTTGATTGCTGCAGAAAATTGTTGCAGTGAGAAACATATTTGAGACATAAGTTTTAAATACAAATTTTGGTTCTTGATTCAATCTTGATAACTTTGAAACTGTTTTATCACATGTATGAGACACCATTAATACATTCGGTGTCTAAGGATGTATGATTGCTGCAGAATATTGGCTAAGTTATTGTTATATCACTGACTCTGTGTATGCTTATCAACAAACCGTTGTTAAGTCTATATGTATGGGTCTGTGATTATAGTCATGACGTGCAAAAGGATGTTGAGATGAAATCTGGAACTAATAAGTTCATGTTTGTGATTTCATGGTCGCTGCAGCATCTGCAATATCATTAAGGACTATGAACTTGGCAAATATTCTCATTCTCACTGGAGGGGGCAACTACAAGAAGTGGAGACGAGAGATTGGACTCTTGTTGACACTTAATGAATTCGACATAGCCCTTGACACTCCCAAGCCGGTTTTGACTAATCAAAGTACTCGAGCTGAGAAAGCTGATGCGGAGAGATATGGACAAGAGCTAATAAAGTGGCACTTTCTATACTTGAAAGTGCCATGACTGACACTGTTCGAGGCGGGATCAAGAAGCATGAATTAGCTATTGACTATTTACAAGCAATTGAGAAGAAGTTCAAAGAGTCTCAAAAGGCAAAAATTAGTCGATATATGGCAATGCTTACCACTTACAAGATTAAGGGCACATGTTCAATTAGAGACCACATCATGACAATGACTAATGCAGCTGAGAAATTGAATTCTCTAGATGTCAACATTGGTGAGAAACAACTGGTGTTCATGCTCCTTCAAGCTCTTCCAAGCAAATATAGCCAGTTGAAGGTGTCTTATAATACTCAAGACAAGAACTGGGATGTCAATGAGCTAATAGCACAATGTGTTCAAGAAAAGACTAGACAAGAGCAAGAAAGAGGAAAAGATGCTGAGATAGTGAACTTTGTTTAACCAGACAAGGCGAAAAGGTCAATCAATTCATTCTCTGGAAACTTTGGTAAGAATTCTAATACCAAGATAACCTTTTTTAAGTCTAATGCATATGCTAAAGTAAATGACTCTATTAAAGGATCTAGCAATCTTAAGGTCAAAACCAAAAATATTTCTAAGCTTAGATGTTTTTTTTTGCAAAACTAAGGGACACTTAAGGAAAGACTGTCAAGTTTTCAAGGACTATCTTAAAAGTAAGGGTGTTGAACAAGTTAATGTTTGTATCAAGTCCAATTTAATTGAAATACTTGTGAATTCATGATGGCTTGATACTGGCTGCTCAGTCCACATTACTAATTCTTTGGAGGGTTTCATGATATCAAAACAAATTGGTTTTAAGAACTATAATGTCTTTATGGGTGAAGGAAAACTAAGGTTGCAGTAGAAGTTATTGGAATTGTTCATTTAAGATTGTCATCTGGGTATATACTAAAACTAAGTGATGTGCTGTATGTGCCAAAGATGAGGAGAAATTTGATCTTTGCTTCAAAAATTGTAAAAAATGGTTTTGCTTTTCTAGGAGATGATGAATGTTTAAAGGACCATCTAGATAGTGTTTTGGGAACCGCATACTTGAGTGACAACTTATGGTGTTTAAATTGTACTGTGGAGTTTATTAATCAACATGTTTTAAACATAAGCACTAAGAGGATGCATGCAGTGATGATTCATTCATTCTTTGGCACAAAAGGTTAGGACACATATCCAAAGAAAGAGTTTTAAAGCTGTCAAAAACTAACTTGATCCCTGAATTGAATTTTGCTACTGCAACTGAGTGTTTGATTGTGTCAAGGGAAAAATGACTAATTTTAGGAAATTAGATGCTAAGAGGAGTCATGATTTGCTAGAAATTATACACACTAATATTTGTGGTCCTTTTCCAACTAAAACCATTTGTGGTAACTCTTATTTTGTCAACTTCATTGATGACTTCTCAAGGTTTAGTTATACTTATTTAATTAGTGAGAAGTCATATGTCCTTGATTGTTTCAAAGTTTATAAAACTGAGGTAGAAAAACAATTGGGAAAGACCATTAAGATTGTTAGATCGGATAGAGGAGGAGAGTACTTTGGCAGGTACACTGAGGCTAGACAACACAAGGGTCTGTTTGCTCTCTATCTTGAACAACAAGGAATTGTGGCTTAATACACCACACCTGGAATGCCACAACAAAATGGAGTTTCATAGAGAAGGAATAGAACTTTGTTTGGAATGGTAAGGAGTATGATGACAAGATCAAAGTTACCAGGATTTCTATGGGAATAAGCATTGAAGACAACAACTTATATATTGAATAGAGTCCCAAGCAAAGTAGTTTCATCTACACCTTTCGAAATTTGGAATGGTAGGAAGCCTAGTTTTGATCACTTCCATGTTTAGGGATGTAAAGCTGAGGCTCGAATTTACAATCCAAATGAGAAGAAACTAGACTCAATGACTGAATCATGCTACTTCATTGGCTACTTAGAGAAATCTAAAGGCTTCAAGTTTTATTGTCCTCAAGCTCACACTAGGATTCAAGAAACTCACAATGCCACATTCTTTGAAGATCAAGATGTTGCAGAATTGTCACAAGCAAATTCCTTTTTGAAGAACCTCATCAAATTGAGAATCCTTCTTGGAATGATACTTATAAGAAGATTTTGATAACTCCTTCTTCTATAGTTGAGTAGGAGGGAGATCAAATGGAAATTTATCCTAATGTAGATAGAATGGAAGTTGATTTTGGGTCTCAATTACAGCCACAAGGGGATCAAACTTCAAATTCTGAAGTACAATTGAATCTGAGTATTGAAGTTCTTAATGAACCAGCAGTTACATTGAGACAATCAATGAGAATCAGGAAGACCACCATGTCAAATGACTATGTGTATTTGCAAGAAAGTGAATTTGATTTCAGTGATATAGATGACCCTCTCACTTATTTTCAGGCCATGAACAGTCCCCAACAAGCTTTATGGAACACTGCAATGAAGGAGGAATTAGAATCAATGTCACAGAACAATGTATGGACATTAATGGCTTCTAATCCTCAAACCAAGGCTATAGGATGCAAATGGGTCTATAAGACCAAGAGGGATGCTTAGGGAAAAATTGAAGGTTACAAGGCCAGATTGGTTGCTAAAGGTTTCACTCAAAGAGAATGACTTAACTACAATGACACGTTTTCACTTGTCTCTTCCAAGGATTCTATAAGAGTTATAATGGCACTTATTGTGCATTTTGATTTAGAACTACATCAAATGGATGTGAAGACTGCTTTTCTCAATGGTGAATTGCAGGAAACCATTTACATGAAGCAACCTCCTAGATTTGTTGAAAGGGGGAAAGAGGACATGGTCTGCAAACTCAACAATTCTATTTATGGATTGAAGCAAGCATCAAGACAGTGGTTTTTGAAATTTGATCAAGCTGTTACAAGACATGGCTTCGTGGAAAACAAGTTAGATTATTGCATTTATATTAAGTGGTCAGGTTCAAGCTTTATAACTTTAGTATTATATGTTGATGACATTCTACTTGCGAGCTCTAACTTGAATCTCCTTAAGGACACCAAGCACATACTCAACAAGAACTTTAAGATGAAAGACCTTGGAGAGGCACACTTTGTACTTGGCATTGAGATTGTCCGTGATAGGTCCAAAAAGCTTCTTGGATTATCACAGAAGGGATATATTGAGAGAGTTTTTTTAAGGTTTAACATGGAAAACTGTAACAATGGTGAAGTACCTGTGAATAAGGGAGACAAATTTTCTAAGGCTCGGTGTCCTAAAACGAAATTGGTGTTGGAAATGTGCCCTAAAACCAATCATATGATGATACTTTACGGACATTTCACATGTTAAACTAATCTAGTTTAATATCAAGGGCAAAGATTATTGTTTTAAGCCGTCTCATATAAATGTTATATGCTTAAACGATAAGTCCAAGGAATATGTAATTAGGAGAATGTAATTTAAACAAGTTAGATTCATGAGACCATTCTTTTTCGTATACATATCCTAAACGTTCGTGATCATAGGATTGCCAATTGGGCATTGACAGTCCGTTAAGATCAGTACGTGATGTGTCTTCTTTCAGGGAGAGCGACTGGACTCGAGTCATTGGTGTGATTGATACCAAGACAAGCATGTAGGTGCTCAATAGCGAATGAGTCCACTGAACACGATTAACGAGGAGTTCTCATACTCATGTCACATGAGAACTCATGGTTTGGATAATGCAAAGTAGTCATTTGACCTGAGGCATCATAGTTGTCTTGTGGTTAGGTCATTGATCTTTGACTATGTCAAAGTCACTCCGTCAGAGGGTGTCCATGGCATAGTTGGGGTTAAGCCACTTAGCCATAGAGGCAAGTGAATGCGCAACAAGGGATCTCTAACCTTCAAACTGTTTGAGGGAGAATACTCTATGATATGATTAAGAATCTCTGGCCAGAGTATGAATAAGATTTAGGAAGTCGTTCTAAATCACATTCAAGGTAATCATATAAGTAAGATAATCACATTGGATAGTAGACATGAATAAACTATTAAACTAAACAATGTGGTCAAGAGTATTGCATTAGAGAAAGACCGTATTGCATTGTAATCCTAAACTGAATAGGTTCTCCACCTCTTCTGATTAGCTTAGGTAACCATGAAATGCTGCTAGGTGTCACTCATGGTTTGTGGAGCCCTAAACGTGTATAATCACTAAAGGGAGAATTGAAAGTAAGTTTCAATTCACAATCGATTTGAAAGAGTTCTAATCGTCCACTGCCTCGCTAAAAGGAACCTAATGGATTGTACACCGTGTAAGGTAGAGATTGAAGAAACAAAGGAGATGAGTAAGGACAATTAAATGGTTTAATTGTTTATGGCAAGAATTAATTAATATGTTAATTAATCAAACGAATAAGTTCATTTTAAACCTTGAGTTAGTTTTGGGCCTTAAAGCCCAAATTGGGCTTCGAATCGTCAAGCCCATTAGCTTAAGTTGTATGACAACTTAACAAACAAAATTCAAGAAGCCCAAAACAGCCCAAAGGCTTGGGAAAACCGGCCATATAGAAAGGGATAGTGAACTTGGCTTAATTGCAAGTTTGCCACTCCATTGTGAGGTGGTATAAAGGCAACTTTATAGCCATTTCATCCTTAGGGTTTCTTTTAGAGAAAAGATGAGAACACAAGCTCCATTTTTGTCTCTAAGAGGTCGGCCACCCTAGAGGATTTTAGCTAGCAATCTTACTTCCTCTAGGTCACTCATCTCTTCTTCAAGTCCTACCTTGGTGTGGAGACTTAGCGGTTCTCAACTTTGGGAACTTGGAGAATCCTTTCAACCATCCTCATCCAAGAAATTCTGGAGCTAAGAAGCAAGAATGAAGGCCCTCTCCTTGGGTGATTAGCCTTTGCTTATGCAAAGAAGAATCAACAAAGGTATAATGTTTCTCAACTCACTTTGTTTTGAGTTGAGTCTTGGTTCACCCTTCTACTAGGCTTTGAATTTCATGGGTAATGTTTTATTTTTGAGTGCATACAAGCATGATTCCGCCTTTAATTGTTAATTGCATGTCATAGATGTTGCTCAAATGAACATGTTTTTCACCAATTTTCCTTCAATTGGAGCTGGATAAAATGCAAAACAAGCCTTATGCTTCATTGGTTGGGAGTATGATGTATACAACTATTTGCACTAGACCTGACATTGATTTCATAGTAGGAATGTTGGGTAGGTTTCAAGCAAATTCGGGAGAGTCTCATTGGGTTGTTGCGAAGAAAGTTTTAAGGTACTTGCAAAGAACCAAGAATTACATGTTGGTTTATGGCAAAGAGGAACTTTTGGAGCTAGTTGGCTACACAGATTCTGATTTGGCCGGGGATGTGGATGACAAAAAATCCACTGGAAGTTATATTTTTATGCTTGGTGATGGTGCAGTCTCTTAGAAAAGTGCGAAGCAGACTATCATAGCAACATCTAC